TGAGTTATCATTCAAAGCTGACGTGAGTAAACAGGTCGCACCAAGGTGAGACCTGTAATTTAACAGGAACCGTGATGCATCCCCCTCTAAGCGGAACTGCGCCGAAAAATCTTTTTCAATGAATTTTACACCACAAACTTTATGGATCGATTGTTTATTCCCGGAGTGTCGCTTGAAATTTCTCATGTTCAGACAAGGGAAACCATTTCCATACCCGCTGACGTTTCCGATAAAGTTTTGTGCGTTTGATGAAAGCCTATGCTTTGGGCCGCATATGACACATTCGGACCTTCCGAATATTGCGTATCTTCATGTATTTGTGATAGATTCAGCGGTGAGTCTTAGGTTTCTTAACTGGTGCTACCTTGAGTTTTCTGTTCATTAACACAATTTTATGTTATTTTGAATTTTGATTTTTCAGTCAGTAGATGAGTATCGCGCTTCTGTACGGCATAATGTTTCTGAATGGTTTCGCGAAGGTAAGTGCCGTTTTTGTTATCGGGCCGCGTTCATACTTTACTTTCATGCTGAGAATATCCGGCGATTCGAGAGGTTGAGCGGCGAGGAAAGTGTAGGGATTGATCTGGCGATGGACTACGATCGGCGATCCGGCGTTTTAGGGACTCGGCGTCCGGGTGATTGCGTCCAAAATGAATTTCCCAAAACGCCGGATCCCAGTCTCCCAAAATGTCCACTCTTTTGGAGCGCAGTCGCCCAGAACGCTTAGCCGCTGATTCTTCCCTTAATGCCAGAGCGATTCCTTTGCTTTCCTCGTCGCGTAATCTTTCGAATCTCCCCAGTCGCAAGGTATGAACACGGCCTTATTAGCTGGAATTACTTGTTTGGGGTTACCGAAAGTTGTTTTTGAGAATTTTTGCCCAGTACTGAGTTCCAGGTAAGCACCAAAAGTGATGTTCAATGGTTGATCATTATTGATTCAACTAGAGCCAAAGAGAAGAAAAACAGAACAGCTTTGATGGAAAGGTTGAGGCATGACTTCAGTAAGCATACGTCAAGGTTAGTGGTGTTGGTTATCGAATTTTTTTTTCTGAAAAACTACGCCACATTTTCTGAGGAAGGATCAAATTATCCCCTTCGCCTGTCGTGCCCTATTTTCTTCCCTTATGTGTTCTTTCCTTAGGTCACTTTGGCGCTTGTTCAGTACAGGTGGGCAATTTGGTGTGAACCAATGCGCGGCGAATTTTCGCAGGCGCCGCTAAAACGAATCTTGTCTTGCCCAGTGTACTACTATTGTTGGCTTGTTTCCAAAAAAACGTATCCAGTTAGAGCAGAACGACCAGCGAACTGGCAACAATCGGCACGCTACCGTTCCCCTTGACGAGCACATGAGATCGGCCTATGACGCTGAAGGCAACACGCGCGTTGACTAGCTGTAAGTAAGTAGCGAGTAAGTCAGCGTCTTGTAGCCTGAAAACGTCGATATAGTTAGCGTGAACGTAGTGGTTTATCTCGCACACTGATGTGACGAAAGTGGTACATTCTCTGCGACTGCGGACCCGGCCAAACCAAATGCCTGAAGGTATTCCACAGACCGCTTGATCGCGGGCATTGCCTTTAAAGCTTGACTTGTGGCAGGTTCAGAGAGGCGCTGTTGTGGGTCCCATTTCTACTTTTGTCACCAAGCTTTTTACCGGTACATAGGGGCGCAGTCCTTTCCTCCTGACTGCATTACGCCATTTGCTTCAATTTATGTCACCATTTACCTGTTTTATACGGTGACTTTTAGGTTAATAGAAGTGTCAGAGTCAGTGGAGCATGGCTCATTCATGGGACTGGTACAGGCGGTGCAAACCGCCTTGATCGCTCACCTGGACATTCTTACTGACACTTGGGAAGCATCTCTTATTAGTGCCAGAGACAAGTATTCTGAAATGAACTGGAGTTTGTCAACGTTTTGTTCGTCAACGGTACGTTGTGCGGACTTTTCTGATCGTATCATTTGGAAAGACAATTCAGTTTATGACTGCCAGGGCATTTATTCCTTTTGCGGTATATTAGTATTCATCAGCGATTTTCAGATGGAGTTCGCTCGATTATACTGGAGTCTTGGAGCGTTTGAACAAGCGCTGCAAATATACGATGATCTTGACGTTCACCTTTTTGAAATAGTCAATAAAATAGGTGATGTGGAAGGTGAGTATTCCACAAGATTATAAATACAGGAGAACAGGCGCGCTACAGTACCCTCAAAACTGCGCGTGAAATTAAACGTGTAAACTTAATGAATACGCACAATTGGGCATACCGGTCTGGTTACTCAGATTTTTTACCGCTCGCGCGAAGGGGGGGGGGTGGTAGAGGGAATTTCGAGATAAGGAAGAAGCGTGAGCGACGTGATTCCGCTTTTCACTGCAGTCAGGGATGCCTAGGCCAAAACTGAGTGAATTTGTGTGCACTCGCTGCTAGTACGCACTCAATTTCACGCGCTGTTTGGGGTACTGTATCCTGCCTGTTCTCCGGAATTATGATTTAAAGAGTATTTCAGTAAAACATTCGCATGTACCTAAATTTTTCCATAATTTTGCTCTCTATCCGGGTATAATAGTGATGAAATGAATACAGGAATAAACACTAGTTTCTCTTTATTTATTTTGCTTTTCATTTACACATTCGAAGTCCATAGAATTCAAGCACGCAACCGAATAATTAGGGTTTTTTTTGTTCTTTTTTTCCATTAATGTTCCCAAGAAGTGTCATGTCGTGGCAAATGAGGATTGATTGGATGCTCATTTCTAGTGGGACATGAGCCACGGTGGATTGTTGCTCTTCGAACGGCTAGCCTTCCGTTTCGGTCACTCTATTCATCGTTTGAACAAGCGAAACTTGATTGCAAAAGAGACCACAGTCTTGTTGGTGGGTGTGTTCATTTCTAGATGTTGACCCTTGATTTTCGATTTTTCACGCTTTTGTGTGTTTCTTTTACTTTTTTCTTTCCCCCGAATGTTTCTAAGACTGGAAGAGCACTACGAAGGTACTCGGCACTGAGCTTATAGGAAAATATTCTGAGGAGCTTTTGATTTTGAATTTTGAAAAGAGCACGTCTTCGCATTTGAAAGAATTTTCGCAAAATACGACAACTTGCATTTTTCTCCTCTAGTACCACTCCCCGCCTTCGCGATACTTATATATACGATACTATCTCAAATTTTTCCGACTTCTTACTACTTTTCGGAAGTTTCTGTCGCCGAGCGAGGGCTCCCTCCAGAGACTAAATGTGATCATCTCCCTGGGATACCGAACGTAGGACGTGGGATACCGAACGTAGGACGTGCCCTGGGGAGCCTCATTTATGTGCCACATTTGTCTCCAACTAATAGCTTATCCTTTTCAGCGATCCGACATTTTCTATTGGCGCAGCAGATACTACTAAGCCTCTCGCAGTACAACGAACGGCATCGTTCACGAGGTGCTCCACCATCGCTCAGGGTCGACTTTGCAGCGCTTGTGTTGAGATACACGAATCGAGTACTGAGTATTGCTTTGGAACAGTCGAGGACTGCTTTGGTGAGTTCCAAGGATTTCCATGTTTCAAAAAGGCTTCCAGAGGTCAGAATAATTTAAAGACAACCCCCGCGCTCAAGTAGTACTCATCCTTCCTTGTGCAAGTAGTTCAGCCCCCAAGCTAGAAACTGTCCCACTCTCGCGACTCCACAGCGAGCGAGGAGCGAGCTACAGCCGCTCAAAGTTCTAGTTCTAACGCCCGCTCAGTTGGACCGCCTCACTTGCTAGCTGCCCTCTGACGGAGAGCCGCTCAGTTGTTCTCTGTTGGGGTGACGGGCATTATTCGGAATTGCATGCCCTTTTTGCTGACCGCGCTCGTGCCTCTGAATGATTCTGCTCTCCTTTATTACATTTTATTTATTAGGAGCACATACAGTCAAATAGAACCCATCTTGCAAGGTAAAACGTAAAAATCACGAACGACCCAGTTTTCGTGGTGCAAAAGCTCGACGCACTAAACACACTAAAAGATGCACGCTACCGTAACCCTTAATTCGGACGCCGAGTTTTTAAAAGTTTATTTTCCTTTTCAAGAGTTTTTCTTCCGTGTTTTTGTTGTTTTTCCGTATTCTTTTTTTGCATTGGATGATATCCATTACTGGGAGATGTGATAAAGGGATTTGTGAGCCAGGGGTTGCACAATGACCGCAGGGCTGTGTGACTGACAGGGAGCGATCTTGTTTATGGTGTTCTTGAGAACTCTTCTTGCTTTTTCTCTTCTTTGGAGAATTACTTATCTGCTACTGTCGAATATTCAGTTACTTCTGCCAAACGAGGTTTTTAGATGACACCTTTATTGGCCTTTACGTTTCGACCTTCTCGTCTTCTTCAGAGGCCTGAAAATGGCTCGAAGCTTTTAATTTGTTACCTACCCGACCAAACGCCCTCCCCACTCTAGCGTTTCCGACCTTGTTTCCCAAACGCTTCCCAAAAACTCGGTAATGAGTCCTAACAACTCACCGAAGGTATCACCGTGCGGAGCTCAGCTCACGCAGTGGGTTAGTTGAACCAGTAAGGACAGTATTGTTCGCAGCCGATGAGGGGCCAGCACGGTGTCCCTGCGTGATGAGTTTGACGCGGCGCCAGGCCCGTTCTCCACCAGTTGCTGACGCGGGTATGCGAGTACAGCCGGGTGGCGGACTTTAGCTGGAGTAGCATACGGTAAGATACTGTATGCCACCACCCAGCGCATATCCCGAGGCCCGCCTGCGGCATGACCTCGCTTAATTTCTGCGCTGACTGCTGACCTCTCACTGGCTACTCAACGTAACGAGATGAATCGATTTGTTTATTCACAAGGTTGAGTGTTAGGAAGGAAATTTCTTGACAGTGACAATAGATACAACGAAACAAATAAAATGCACTCCTTAACATTCGAAAAATTATATAGTTTTACTATGGTTTTTTGATTAAATTATTATTAATTAAAATTATATGGTTTTTTGTAGAGGGGCGTGGGACTTCCTGAAAAGAAATGGGCGACAAAGGTGGAGGAGCTGTCGAGGGGTCTGTGATTTCACGAGAACTGGGCGACAAAGGTGGAGGCGCTGTGGAGGAATCTGTGATTTCGTGAAGAGGAATGGGCGACAAAGGTGGAGGCGCTGTGCAGGAATCTGTGATTTCCCGAGGAGGAATGGGTGTTGTGATTGCATGCACGGTCCCGTAGTAGACATCGCTGGTAGGCTGAAGACCCATAAGCATTTCTGGAGAAGTTTTTGAAGCCGTTTTGTGTTATGATAACTGCTGCTTAACGCGTACTGCGGCGTTAAACAGCAGTTATCATAACAAAACAGCTTCAAAAACATCTAAAGCCTTAGGCCTCGCGGTTTCATGCCGATATCCCACCGATTACGGCTGACCGGCTCACCAAAATAAACGTGTGAGTGCTGATAGGCTAGCGGCAAAAGCCGTTAAGCTGAGAGGGTAAAAGCGGCCCTGGTGGCGTAACGGATAGCGCACTCGCCCGGAAAGCGTGAGGTGCGGGTTCGACTCCCGCCTGGGCACGACTTTTGCCCACAACTCAGCATTCTTGTGGATACTTTCTGATAAATTGCCTGAAATGGGGTAGATGTCAGATATAACGTCAAGTCTATCCGTGGTAAGAAGCGATTCGCGCCGGCGATAGAGAGCAGAAGCATGTAGAGAACTGTTCGGAGTAAGAACTGTGAGGAAGGAGTTTGGTGGAAACATTCATGTCAATTAGAAACAAAGAAAACAAATTGGGGAAATGCATACACTCCACAGCACAGATGATCCGTTCAGACGCGGTGTAGTAGGCACCTGAAAGCATGCTCGTGACGACAAACACTGACGAGGTGTGTTATGACGAGGTGCTCATCGAGCTATACAAACATATTTTTAGGTGACCTTAAATAAAGGAAGAAAGAATTTATAATGTAAGAATAATTGGCCTTCTGGAAGGCTCAATATCGATGGTATATGAACACAGTAAAAACAGACAACATTTAAAATTTTGGCACTATTCAACTATTACTACACCCAGATTTCCGGAAACGGCCGCACGCATTTTGATCGCATTTTTTTTCCTAGTGAGTGAATTGGCTAAGTTGGGTTACGGGTTATACGACCTCCTGAAAACGAATATGCAAGCATCCACCTTGCCTGAAAACTGCCGGCCGCCGCGCTATGAGCGCCAGTGATTCCGGGCATTTTTGCGCGCCGGGCGGCCGCGTAGCGCTAGGCCCGGCGGAGCGGTTTCAAAGCTGAGGGAATTATATTCGTAAGTTCAGGAGGTCCAAACTCCCTAGTAAACAAGTTTTTCATCGATCGTGATCTAGGGTACTTTGCGCCGGCGCCTGTGGTGCGGCGCGGCGGGTTATGAGAGGAGCGACATGTGATAATTCCTGTTTCAGGAGGTCGATACCCCTAGAACCCAACTTTCAGCCAAATCCACCCCCGTAGAAAAAAGTCGATCAAAATCCGGCCCGTTTCCGGAAATCTGGGGTAGTAATAGTTGAATAGTGCCAAATTTTGTTATATGTTTCTACGATTTTTATGTGTTCATATACATCGAATGACCTTCCAAAGGCAAATTAATTCTTACATTAATTCTTTCTTAATTATTTAAGGTCACCTAAAAATATGTCTGTATAGCTCGATGAGCACCTCGTCATAACACACTTCGTCAGTGTTTGTCGTCACGAGCATGCTTTCAGATGCTACTACACGCGTCTGAGCGGAATGCCACCAGAAGATCCACGAAGAGGCGATCCACCACCTGAGCGGATTCCACCTAGAAAAAAAATCGATCCAAATCCGGCGCCCGTTTCCGGAAATCTGGGGTAGTAATAGTTGAATAGTGCCAAAATTTCAACACGTTTCTCTTCGATGCGAACATTCATCCTCTACCCAATATTCATGAGTTACCGAAATTTACATGGATCTTAACTTATCAGAAACCGACCTACCAAAACGGATTCGAATCGATTCATCTTGTTACGTTGAGTAGCCAGTGAGAGGTCAACAGTCAGCGCTGCAATTAAGCGCGGTCATGCCGCAGGCGGGCCTCGGGAATAATGCGCTTGGGTGGGTGGCATACCCAGTATCTTTACGTATGCTACTCCCAGCCTAATTAGGGTCCTATTGCGAAGTACAGCCTTGTCGCTTGCACGGTCCAACAGCTGGTGAGAAACAGGTCTGGCGCCGAAACCCCTCACGCCTGACATGCCACTTCACCCACGTCCACGACTCTATGATTACTTGATATATAGGGTCCTTTTCGTGCATAACATGAGCAATTCCGCAGAGAGCGGGCAGTTTTGTGAACAGGCTCTAATGGTTAGAGAGCGCAGGGAAAAGGGAACCGCACCTGTACTACCGTTGAACCTTAAGTTGCTCGGCTGGGCGCAATTGACGTCTCCATTTGTCCCTGCAACGTGCAAGATTGCCTAGTGGGTCCTATTCGGAGTACCCGAAAATCATGCTAATGAATGGTTCATAACTTTCACGAAGGAGTCTAGCCTTCAAGTAGGTGGGCGTCTAGGAGCCTGTTCGACATCCAGTGTATTCCTCTCGGTAATCGCTTTGGTCCGGGGGAAACAAAAATGTGTCTGAATCCGGTAAGTCATCAAAATCAGGAACGAGAACTTGTCCAAGCGCTCAGTCTCCTCAGCATTGTTCTCGTACACGTTATCAAACCAGCTGGGGCAAAGAAGGCCATGTTTTACGATTTTTTGGCGATTTCTTCGATTATTTTTTTTCTATTGGAGAACAAGCCGATTAGCATCTACTCTACTTTGAGCCCTGTAAAGATAGCAAATTTATCGTGAGATGTGAGCCCGAGTTCTTTTCTCGATCTACTTCGGTGCATTGAAGAAGCTTTGAGTTCTTCCAGATGAACGTGTCCACTGCTCGTCTAGCATGCTGGTGCCTTGTCGTGTCAAGTGAAGCGCTACATATTGCTGGATTATTAGCTGAGCCTTCAACGGTAGAAGGAGCTGTTGCAGCTTTATGTGGCATCCAGACGCAGAGATTCTTCTCCGTGAGTTTCATGACATTTAAGAATTTGTGGTATATCTGATTTCAAAGCTCTTGCATCAAATCCTTTTTTGGTGAGCTTTCGGCGATAACGCCGTCATCAGACCTTCAAATTACAATACATTACCGACCTACAGCTACAACAATTACATCAACATCAGCATTCAAGACCTACCAAGGGTCGGGAGGGGTGAGCTGCCCGTGCGGTGGTATAAATGAGGAAGGAACTGCCCAGCAGCCCTAAGGCACAAGGGTCTTCTAATGTCACATTTATCACGCAATTAGCCTTAGGAGGTCACGTAGCTCCTCCCTTGTGTTGATTTCCGGCTTAATGCGATGGATTTATGAATGTACTTGCGATTTATGAATTTACTTGCGCTCGGCAACAAGTGCTTGAGCTTCAAACGAGTAAGTTGAGCGCAGGTGTAGCACATGTCTGTTATCCAATAAGGTATAGGAGATGACGTGTCGTCTAGTACGTTAATGACAGAGAAACTTGTATTGTAGGTCAGTGACGTCTCAAGGCTCGTAATTCCAAGGCATCATTCACTACTCTCATATCTCTTAAAGATTAGCGCCTCGTTCATACTTTACTTTGCGACTGAGGAAATTTGACGATTTGCGAGAGCGAACTGCACCGATTCGTGCCCACCCACTCCTTTGGCGCCCCATCGCCAGAAGTGCCGATTCTCCAGAATCGCCGAATTTCCTGAAGTCCCGAATCTCCTCAGTCGCTAAGTGTTACCGTGCTGGACCGCATAACTCGGCTACATCATCGTTGAGTTATATGGTAATTGAGGTGAAAATGGTTTATGAAAAATCGGGTGGTGGCGTCTCCCGATCCGCCCACGTCGCCGCAGGGAACGTAAACCCAACCGTGGCAAAATGGGCTACATGTCTGTGCCCTGTCTTTTCTTCTTCTTCTCTATTTCCAATTGCGTGGTTGCTGCGAGACCTGGTATCGACGCAAGTGCTGCACCTTGGTATAAGGCGGGCAGAGTCGGGAGACGACAGGAACACTACCTCTAGCCTTCTCGTGCACTTTTGAGCGGAAAGTGGCACGTTACCAGCTGCGGACCCGTTATCCTGGCTCGAAGGGGTTAGTCTTAGCGGTGAGTGTCTTTAAACTACCCGGAACGACGCTTAGAAATGTAATTGGTATACGAATAATTAACTCGATTTTGTGCCTAATCTCATAATTATTCTCAGTCATCGTCCCCTCTACCTCCTTCGGCATCGTGCTCTATCAACAAGTTAATTTCGCCAGTATTCAGATGTTGGACCTGGCAGAATTACCAGAAAGTGGTCCATCGGAAACGCGATCATCGATCTGTGAATGGCTCTCCGCTTCTGACGATACTAGTGGTAGTGGAGAACAATTCTGTGAGGTTCTTCAATCGCCAAACAGTTTTGCCTCGCAGTTCTTCAAAGCACACGAAATAGCCTCGGCCACACTAATGCAGTGTGGACGGACCAGACAGGCTGCACATCTTGGTTGGAAAATGGCTCAGTGGATGAGGTTTGTTGTTTCAGCATGAATGTTCTATTTATCCCCTTACTGGTTCATTTGAGACGCGGACATAATTTAGTCGTTTCGTTTCCATTCCACACCTTATTGCTTTACGTAACACCCAAAAGTGTGCCACAACTACAAAATGTTTGTTTCAACACCACTTTGGTCGAGAACAGGGAACAGCAAACGTGCGAAAACCTAATTTTTGGCGGAGCCCTCGCCCGCTGTGAGGCTCCACTCACTTCTTGAAATCCCGCCCACTTTTCAAAAACGCTTCAAGTTAGCAGGCTGGGGGTGTCAGCTTGAAGGTGAGAGGGTCGCTCGTCACTCAGAGCAAAAAAAGCCAGGCAAGAAACGAAACTTCTCTGTTTTTTCTTTTGTTCCCGAGTGACCCCATGACCGACAAGAGAGACTCTGACGTGCTAATTGGAGGCATTTTGGAAAAGTTTGCGCGGCTTCTACGGAGTAGACGGAGCTTCTCGTGATGGGCGGCGTGTCTTGCAGCAGTCCAAAAATGTGAAAGTTTTGCAAAATAGAACAAAACAAAACCACCAACAACAACTGCAAAATGTCGGTTTCGTAGCCCATACGGTTGGAGTGCGGGAACGGTGAAAACGTGCGAAAAACGAATTTTGGGCGAAAATACGTTAAAGTAAATATATACGGTGCTGAACTGGAGCAAAGTCATTTGAAAGTTCAGAAACTGCAGAAATGGACTAGGAAGGGACTGTTGGCTTGGGTTTTCGTGAAATATGTCATGAATTCTTTGGAAAAGTTTTTTGAGTCCTGGTCAAATAATGATTGGCTCACTTGACCTTGAAATATGGAGGTCGTACTGTTTACCGAAGCTGTCTATGGGTCTTCATGTCATTTGTCAGTCTGTGTGAAAGGTCCCTCGTAAGACAGTATGAAAATGGGTGCCACCGCCAGATTTCCTCTGGACCCCCTCTCACGACACATTTGCCACCTTACCGAAGTCTTCCAAGTCCCCAGCAACTTTCCGAGAATTTTCAAACTGTCGAGCAGTTATAGTGCGTGGAAAACGACAAAATGCCTTCGAGCCTGGGGTGGTCGCCTTCAGTCAACTATTGACTTCAATGATAGTATTATCATTTGTATGGTAGTTTTGGGTTCCAGGCAGAGTTCATGGTGAACATGAAACGGCAAAAACCAAAGAAAGTCAACAACCGGAAAAATTTTCTTTTCGCTACGGCAGTTTTTCTCTCAAGGCCAGATACGACCCCCTCCCGACCAATTACGATCCCGTTGGGATTCTTTTGACGGCCCTGACTCATTCGAGAATCCGATTTCAATTTGGCGCTGCTTTTTCTCCAAAAATAACAAATTGAAGCTATTTTTAGGAAAAATAATCGAGACGCGGGAGCACTAGCATTGGAGCTTCGATTTGTTTCGTCATTACTGGAAAGTGGTATGAAATCGCAAGCCGTGGTTGATGTGATGAAACACATTCTCCCATATTTGAAGGACGACATCGATTTTGAACGGTAGTAATGTGTACGCAAAATATGGGCTACGTTTCTCGCCAGGACAGACCTAAATGTTCTGAGACATTACTTTTAGGTTATTATCATATCGATTATACGTTGCACTGCACGATTCTGACGAAATTGAGCGAAGGAAGTATGCGGAAGAGTTCATCGGTCTACTTTCAGGCCATGACAAAACAAAGCCATTAAGGTTGTTAATTTACTGTTGTGAACTTATTAACATTTTCGGTGTAGTTCGGCCTGGTGGGGGCATCTAATGGTACTCGGGGAAGCTGCGCAGGTCACCTTGTGAAGACCTGTAAATTCCTGTGACCTAAGTTGTTCACTTGTACCATTTCACAGTTTCGCAAAAGTTTACTGGTCTTACCATAGCGAGACTTGTTGGTTAACACTAACTAACCAAAAGAAATAGCCAAGTGCAAAATGCACCCCCTCTCCTCCCCCTTAAGCCGAACAGAGCTTATTTTTCTTTTTCTTGTTTTTGTTTGCGCTTCTCGGGTCTCACTTATTTTCGGGGATCTCGGCGCTGTCAGGCCTGGAGGGGGCATTTTGCACTTCTGCTATTCCTTTTTTGTCAGTTCAGGTCAACTTACAAGTCTCACATTGGTCAGGACTTTAAACTCCTGCGAAGTTTCGAGATTGTTTGAATGACCGTTTTGGTCTCATAGTCAGGAAATTAAAGGTCAACAAGGTGACCTGTACAAGCTCACCTAAATGCCATCGAGTGCTCCCACCGAGCCCGAACTACGCCGAAATATGTTTGAAGTACTGCTGTTGCTGTTGAGGTTGAATTGCGTCCTTCCTGGCAGTGAGATCCACTTTCTTCATCAATCGTAGACTCCATAATCTTGAACCTTCTCAGAGCTTCCCAGATGTTCTGTTAGGTCCCAAAGATCACGAACATGATTTCAGCTTGTCGGAACCGCCAGGAATCCCAAAGGGTCTGTTTCAAGCCACGATTGGAGGTTTTACACCAGTCGTTCAAGTGCCCAATGGTCGTGTATCGATTGATTTTGTGGTGAAATCAACGTTTCCTATTCCGATTCCGAATTTTTGTCTACAAGTGAAACTTCGAGAGGTTGATGAGCATGTTCTGTCGCGGCGAAAAGCGACTGTGTACGACGTGCATTTCAGTGTGAGTGCTAGGCCATTTTGAAAATTTCCTATTGATCAGATCCGTAAATTTTTCTCCCATTCAGGAACGCGAACAGGTTTCACGTGTAATAACAATGACTAAATCGAAACATCGAAAGAAATCGTTTTCTCGGTCGAAATCGCCAGTGGTTTCACCTCGATCAAGTGAAGAACTCCTGCTTGTTTGCTCCAGTCGAGAACTAGCTCCCGGAGACAATGAGATAGTAAACGACTACGAAAGTTTCCAATGAAATTCAAAATAGGTCACTCGGTTGTTTTCAGATAGTATCTGGTCAGGCCCAGTCCCGTGGTTGTTTCCTGTTGGAAAGTGTTCAAGCGACGTTGTTTGACGGCTTGATTTCCATAGATATTGGGGATTTGAAAACGAAGCGTTTGGTCACGATCTTTATACAGAGCACGCCAAATAAGCTATGGATTGACGAGAGCAGAGGTAATCCACGCTCATGATCCATAACTATTTTATTTCGCTTTTTTTCGGTTTGTGTCGTTTTAGTTTGTCTTTTTCGCACACATTTTTCTCACTGCTTTTCCTCTGAGAACAGAAGGGTTCTGACTACCTTCCGTCCTGATTCATCTCCCTGTCTTGTCATATTCTTCAGATCTTTATCAAACCCTTTCCATGGGTGCATAGTAAGGGTCCCATGGAAACCCTACCTTGACTGAGCTCGTCACAGAAAACAGCCTTTGAGTTTTGATGGGCGGGACAACAACGGAGGCGTCAGAACTAGCACTCATGAGGGCTGCAGCTTCGCTTGTTACTGTGGAGCCGCAAAAAAAGGTACGATGTTAGAGACTGCGGGCGGGCCAGACTACTTGAATAAGGAGGGACGCTCGTTGATCGCGGGGACTGTCTTTAATTTTTGTTCCACTGATGGTTGAGAAAAAAATCCTCCTGTCGCTGCTTGTTGTGAGCAGCCATTGTATGAAGTGTGCCTTCTATTTTCCTCGTTTTTCATCCAATATTGCTCTCTAAGTTTTGTTTATTCATAGCTGAGACATGTTTTGGTTTTTTGACGTTGTTTTATTTGATTTTAACGATCATTTACTTATTCACTGCTTAGCAAAGCGCTTTTAAGATCTTCTGGCGGGAGTTGTGCAGCGGGTGAACGTCACTGTTGAGGCTGGTTCTACCGTAGATTCATCAAAGGTTGAAGTGCGTGCCGAACCCACCGAAGGAATTGAGTTTATGGTATGTTGTAGGGTTTTGTTCGATTACTTTTTTTCACTACTCTTTGAAATAGAAGCGCAGACTGCAACATATTGAACTTTACATTCACCTTCGTGGATCCTGAACCTTACTATCGGGGAGGTGAAAGGATCCGCAACTGCAGTAGCTTGCTACTTCGTTCGTTCGAAAGTACACGAGAAAAGGACTGAAGGGTAGTGATACCCGAGTGCCGTCTTTGGACTTCACCTAGCCGCACGCCTGACCATAGCCAAATGCGCTGCGTGTGTACACCCTCTTGCTTCTAGTTATTCACTACGTCTGAATGCGTATTTGCTGCGGGATTTTGGTATCGGCGCCATCGCTTTGAGCATTTCGTGGGCGGAGTTCCTCCAAAACTCTATTCATTTTGGTACGTACAACTTTCTAACTTCCCTCCAAAATTCTATTCAATTTGGTACGTGCAACTTTCTGATTCTTTTTGCCCTTTGAATGTTCACGTTCATCCCCAACCGAGACCTATCAGTTGCGTTTCAGCGGTTTCAGTGGGTTTTTGGATAGCCAATGTTGACAGAAAAGGGTGTTGTTTAGTGTACACAGTGATGACCCCAATTCGTCGTTCCACTTTCAGCCATGTTTTGCTTCGAGTAGTTGCTAGTTGTTGGGTTGCTTACCAGTTGCGGGCCGTATTTGGGATATTATTGTTCCATTATTTCTTTTATTGTCATTTTCTTCTTAACCTGCGCTTGTTTCAGAGTGTAGATGAAACATGGTCATCAACCGTGAGTATAGATATCCCTCAACTTGGACCTGGACGAAGGCACACTTTCGAGCTAGTTCTGTGTCTACCAATGGACTCTGGTCTTACCGCATCACCGGCTGTACGGAAAGCGAAGGTTTGTGCGTGTCATGCGGCGCTTTCCTAGAGGGCTTCCTGGCTTGAATAAGATTACTCCGAAAAGGTTTTGATAATGGGCAAATTCCCTTTAAAATGTATTGAACTCCTCAGAACCTTTGACAGCGCTGCTTTTGATTTTCCGCCGCTATTGACGCTTTGCTGCTAAAGTCGTCCAGAATGGGGCCAGTTTTCCTCTGACTTTTTTTCACCGATTTCAGATCTAATCAAAGATTTGCCTCCAGGAGTAGTTCGACCCCTTGAACACAAATATCATGTCCGCTTTGGGAAACCGTCTGGTGCCCGCTCCCGGAACCGGCGCGAAAAAGCCCTGCACCACTAAAGCGCCTGAAATTTTGTCCCCATAGGTTTTGACCTCCTGAAAGTGGATATCGCACCGCGCCACAGGTGCCGGCTCCAAAATACCCTTAATCACTAACTTGGCCGGAAACTTGTCCTCAAACGTAGTTTCACCCTGAAACAGGAACATCTTCCTCATTGGTGCACCCCTCCTGATGCAACCCACCGGGGTGATCCTCTGATTTCGCCCATAACATTGACATGGTATTTTACTTCGATAGTCGAAATGCTCTGTTTGTTCACAAACTACTTTTTAAAGATCTGCTGCGAATGGTTTGGTAGAGTATGGTCGTTGGAGTTGCCATTTGTAGCGCTTTTAATAATGACGTCCACAACGTCGATGCTGGAGAATAAGTAAGTTTTTATCGTATTCGAGTAAAATTAAAATGTGGCGCTGTTTGGTTTGGAGGGGTGGACTTTGTACTTTCGCTAATTTCCTTTACCTGTGAAAATACACGTTACTTGGCGAGACCTGTGAACTCTTTCTCGTGTAGCTTATGCTATTGCTCAGCTTTACAGAAGTCACCACGTCTCCATAGGAGGCATCTGTTGTGATAGATGGAAACCAGCGAAATGCCCATCAACCCGAACTGCGCCAAAGTTTACTGTGAAATTAGTTAAGGACGCTGTTCGCATTTTGTAGGACACTATTTGAACTGGAAATAGCGCGAGCGGCTGGTCATGCCGATGAATGGACAGTTGTATTGGAGAATGCGATGGTGGAAGCGGTAGATCCGTCGGTGACGAAAGAAACGCCAAACCAACTTGGGAAGCTACTAAACAGGGACCTCGGTGTATGTCATTGTATTGCCATATTTACCTGGATATCTTATAGCTTTCTTTTGTTCAGGAATTGATACCAAACGTCGTCTCAAGTCTGGTCTGGGTGTTGCCCATAGCTGGTGAACTGCCCATTTCGCATCGGCTGTCAATAGACTATCGAGTGAAACCGACAAAAGTGACTCAACTTTTTGATTTTCTTTTGTTTTTTTCTCGCTTTAATTTTCTCGTTTTTTTTGGCAGTGCAGTCGAAATGAAAAGGGCCTTTGTCAATCTGGTCTCGTAAGGTATTATTCAAAAGTACATCCAAGTTTCGGCGAGAGCAGCAAAAGAGCCGTTGCAAGCTGGGTCACGTGCGCGTCGTTTGCACCTGCCTTCGCGCTTTTGGTAGCGGGGTACGCAGTCACAGACTGTGTACTTCTTTCGTCACGCAAAAATGCCAGATAAAGACGCAAAAAACGCCTGACCTGCACCCATACTGCAAATATGTCCCACGTGACAATGACTGACACCGCTATATAGTATGCGTGTTGCCTGCAGCGTCGTAGGGTGATATCATGTGCTCACCAGAACTTTAGGAGTGCCCCTTGCTGCACTAAACTCTCTGAGAGGAACAAAAAAAAACCAACTAGGCGTAACTTTGTCCACCGGAGTTACTCGTGAGCTGATCGCACTTTTTTGGCACTGGGGCCATGTTGCTGGCATGATCTTGATACTGATGTACAACTATAAAGTTGTAAGATGGGGGAGGGTAAGCGATGGCGGCTTGGAGATTTTCGGACCACAGCTATGAATTCATAACGGCTTTGGTGAGGGGAAAATGGTGGTGCCAAATGCATGGGTGCCGAGACAGTTATCCTCGTTGCCAGATAAGGATAAACGTTGACTAATCCCTTTGTGGGATGCGGCACGCATTCTACTTCCATTCAGAATCGTAGTGGCTTATTGAATGCGATGCCTATACAATGACTTGCGGGGCCAGCCGATGTACAAGTCAGTGTTTTATCCTCCCAGACGAATCTGGTACCAATTCACCGTCCCCGGAGGGTAGAAGGCTTGGTTGGCCTGGGCGGGAGTCGACCCGGGATTATGAACCCAGGACCGCGCGGGTGGTAAACGCGGCACTTGTCACCACATCACCTCCGCTTCGTCGCCATTTCATAAAACATCCTCCTATAAACGAAGAGTTTTTCGGCATTTTGAAGATGAAATCTTGGAATAGCGCCAAATTCTCAGTAACTACTTCAGGAATCTGAGTCGGAATCTGGCGACAAGAAGTTCCTTGATAGGCTATATTCATATC